CAGATGTGCACCACCACGCCCAGTCTCAGTCGCCCTCTTGGTGCACCCTGAGGGCAGGCCTGGTACAGCAGGCCAGAGGATCAATCTCCCAGCCCCAGCATCTGCCTATGTAGGCGCTTTAATCCCATTGAGCTATTTGGCCGGCCCTCAGAACAGGGACAAACAGAAACTCAGATTATAGTTTTAGGGTGATCAGATTCTGCAATTTCATGTCCAGTGTTATGAAGACATTCTTATATTCTTGTTTGTCTTAAGCCTCACTAGTCGTGTTTTCATCAACGCTATTCTACTGAATTGCTCTTTGCAAGATAACTGTTGAGATTTTTGGTGCACTGCTTGCTTAGCATGTAAGAGGGAAAAGATCCCTGATGATGCATAATTCTAATGATATGTTCTCAGTCCTCATCTCACTTGCTCTGTGAGCTACTCACTCTGACCTGAAATCAATTTCTTCCTTTGGCTTCCAGGCCTGGTATACTCTCCTGGCTTTCTTCCTTCAGCTCTGACTACTCTGTCTCTTTCTCCCCTGCTTGTTCCTCTTCATCATCTGGACTGTTTGTATGTCCCGGGATCATTCTCTGTTTTTTGTCTACATTCACTGCACTGATGGTCTCATTCAGTCTGAGATCTGATGAGAGCTTCCAATAACGTAACTCAAGATTTTTCCACAAGTACTCTCAACTCCAACTGTCTTCGTTCCATCTCTCCTAGGGTGTCCATGGGCCTTTCAAATGTAGTAGAAGCAAGTGGAGACTCCCTCCCCAAGAACTCCATTCCTCTCACATCCTTTGCTCCCTGAATAGCAATTTCACTCTGACAGCCAGAATTTTATGTCATTTTTTTTGGTGTTTTTTTTTTTTTTTTTTTTTTTTTTTTTTTTTTTTTTTACTACGTTTGTGCAAGCTAGCCTTGAATTTGTTCATGTAGCCCAGGCTGGCCTCAAACTCACAGTGATCCTCCTGCCTCAGCCACCCAAGTACTGGGACTATAGGCGTGTACCTGATGTTCTTTCTTTATTTATTTACCTGATGTTCTTGCTAGCCATCTTTTACCTCCTACATCCAAACTGTGAAAAAATCCTGTTGTTTCTACAATCAAAATAATTACAAAATCCAGCCATTTCTTAATATTTCCTATCCAAATCCTCACAGTTATAATCTTCTGGCTATTCCAACGGTCCACCAACTCCCTGAATTTTGACCCTATTTGGTTTACTCCCACCCAAGCAGTCAGGATAATCCTGGTAAATTTTGTCAGACCATGTCACTCCTTTGCTCAAACTTCTCAGAACTTCCCCTTTCACTCAGAATAAGAGCCAAGTTCTCACGGTGCCATATGCTTTTGTTTCCTGCAGTGCTGAGGCTCAAGCCCATGGCCTCATGTGTGCTAGGTGAATGAATGTTCTACCTCTCAGCCTCACCCCAGCCCAGGCCATGTTCACCACCCTGAGCCTCACTAACTCTCAGATTTCCTTTCCTCATCACTTCACCTGTTCTTCATGTGTAGAATAAGACAGACAGTAAATTCTTCATTTTTGCATAAGCAAATTGATGCTTAGCAGAGTTAGGTTGCACTATAACTTGAATGTAGGTAGCATCTATCGAAACCACAAGCATAATCACCACACAACTGCCCCTCCAAAATTCTGCCATCTATCATGGCCAGTTTAGGGCAGCTGTGGCTCTGCAGACAACAGGCAGTCGTGTACCGGTCATACCTGAGTAGCCGTGACTAGGCAGCATGCTTGGCATATTTGTATTTGGTAGAACAGATGATCCAAATTGGGAAGGAACACAAAACTGTCTTGGGTCAGTCGGTACCACAGAAGGCAACGCATCTCTGGAGGGCAGGGGGAGAGGTAAAAAGTAAAATAAGAATACACTTTGACCAAATTTTCATTGTTTAGGTAGTTTTTTGTTTTTCCTAGTTACCATGTGGAATTCTATCATCTCTTTCCAAACTGAAGTACAAAAGTGCAGCAGGCTCTACGGTAAAGTAGAAATATGGTCAGAAAGGCTAGGAGGAAGGACTCCACCAAGGAAAGGCCACTCCAGCAGACAACGAAACAAAGAAAATGAAAGAAAAGTGCTAGGGATGTCTGGAGGAAAGGATCCAAGCAAATCTTTCTGATTTATCACACCAGCAATCTGTTTGAGCACAGATTTTTTTAATAGACATACTTAGGGTTGAATCTACCTTCTGAGTTCAATGCTTGGCTATCTAGGGGGACAGTTTATCATTTTGGTGTCTTTGGAAGCCCACATTTACTTACATTTCACACTGTATGAACAAGAATAAATAATATGTTCCATTTTTTTCTCAAAATGTTACAGATATTCTAAAAGAAAAGGAAGGGAGACTATTCTAAAATGTGCAACCAAAACACTTTTAATTTTGCTTTTATTGAAAAGAAGGAATTATGCTATCACAGGAGATCAAGGGTACCCAATTGTTATGGATTTGTCTCCCCCTAAATTAACACTTTGAAATCTTAGCCCCCCATGTGACCCTATTGGAGATAAGGCTTTCCAGGAGGCAATTAAGGTTAAATAAGGTCATAAGGTGGGGCCCCAATCTCATGGGAGTGATGTCTTTTAAAGAGCTCTTTGAGTCTGCACCCAGAGAAAAGAAGGTAGAGGACACAGTGAGGCAATATGTGTCTACAAGTCAGAAGAAAGGCCTTACCAGAAACCAATGAGAGTGTACTGTGATCTTAGACCTCCATCCTCTGAAACTGGAGAAATAAATTTCTGCTGTTTAAGCCTTCTAGCCTGTGGCATTTTGTTGTGGCAACCTTAGAAGTATGATTCACCTACATTTGCACCTGTACAATGTCTGTCATATTGTAAGAACCTGCTAGTTACTTGCTGAAGGAGTAGGTCAAACAGCCCCAAAGTGGGAGGTGGTGGCAGAAGTGACCAAGGTAAGTCCAGCAGAGTGGCCTCACTTGAACTACCACACCATGTTTCACTGAGATCACATTAGAATGACAATAGGGTTAAATGATGATCCATTTTCTCCTTTGAGTGGATTATTATGTGGGCGAGAAATACCTGTCCACAATTGGAGGTCCAAATGGTGAGGAAACCAGTGGGATCCTCTGCTGCCCTGGTGCTGTCAGTAACGGGTTCATAGCCATCGCTGGATTTGTCATCGATATCCCTTGCATCTGATGGAGTTCTAAAAAGAACCAGATAAGTACACTGAGAAATCACCTGACTTTTGGTGTATCATTTGAAGTCTTCTTGAACTCAGTGAAGATCCTTTGTATTTTCCTAATACTTGGGAAGAGCAGCAACATCAAGATTTGAATTATACAAAAACCTTCTAAAGCTGGATGTGATGGCACATGCTTATAATCCCAGCACTCAGAAGACTGAGGCAGAAGAATCGTGAGTTCAAGGCCAGACTGGGCTACAAAGTGAGTTGAAGGCCAGCTCGAACTGCATAGCGAGACCCTGTTTCAAAAAGACAAAACAAACAAAAAACTTCCTATAGGAAGCACTTGGATACAACTTTAGAATTTAGCATTTTGTAAAGGTTCCCTTCATATGGTTGTAGCCTGCAGGTCATACCATTCCACACTATATGCAATAGTAACGAGAAACCAGCCTTGCAAGATGCCAGGAGTGCTGGCTTCCTTCCTTATGCCTTATTTTCATTCTTATATCCAGAAGTGCTAATACATAACTTCTCCCATATATTCAGTCTTCACAAAAATATTCCTCTACAATTGATAACATTAAGACAGGAAATAAGTTCCTCTACAAGGGCTGTCAACAACTTGAAGAAATTAATGCTAACTGAGCTCCTGACTCTGTTTCTGTCAGTGGTTCAAATTTCTGTGCCAATACTTTACAAAATTTCTGCAGCCAGACCATGATCCTTTTAGGGC